CGCAACTGCGCGATGTTGTTTTGACTGTGCTGGCTGGCTGCAGAAAGCAGGCTGGCGCCGGCCGAAACTCAAACATAGCACGCTCTGCGTGATGTGAAGCGCACGTGCTGCCTGTCAAAACCCCAATGCAACATTGGAAGCAACAGCTTACTGCCGATCGTCTTGCCACACCTTCTCAATCCGAGTTGCGTGGAAGGCGCGTCAAGAGGGGACTTTCTAGCAGGCGTCCTGCCAAGCCGAGCTATTCTTGGAAGCGCTGGGCATGCACTCTCTCAGCACGCGCACTCGCTTGAAAGGCGTCCACTCACTTTCGAAGCTCAAAGCAGCACCTGCGCCCTGCCTGGAGCACACATGAGAGTAGTAAGCCTTCACAGCTGGCACTGCGACCTGCTGGACTTCTGCGTGCCAGAGAACAGACCACTCGTTGCCAGCGTCAGCCTGCATGATGACAGCTTGGTGCACTTCTGCAGGGCGTGCTCGGAGGATCCAGTTCACCGCAGAGGCAGGTCCAGCTGCTCGGATCTTGCTGCAGAACGGTGTCCCAGTCGTGCTGTCGGGCGTAGACAAGCAGCAGTCCACCGTCATTTCAGTGATTATATTAAGAGCCCCAGATCCATGGGGTTTAGACCTTACCTCAATTTATCTCAAATTATCTCAAATTATCTCAAATTATCTTATTTTTGCATCTAATGTGCAAAAAGATGCAAAAAAATGCAAAAAGATGCAAAAAGATGCAAAAAGATGCAAAAAAGTGCAAAAACATGCAAAAAAGTGCAAAAACATGCAAAAAATGCAAAAAAATGCAAAAAAGTGCCAAAAAAACACAATGCAACAAAATGCCAAAAAAAACTGCAACAAAATGCAAAAAAATGCAACAAAATACAAAAAATACAAAAAGAGTGCAAAAACAATGCAAACATACATGACACAAATGCAAACAAGGACAAACACACGCAAGTCATCATGACAACAATGAATCCCATAATTCTACAAAAATGCACGATGAGGCCTCCAAATCCGTTGGTAAAGGTGTGTTGTTTGAGAAGGGCCTGGTGTGTGGGTGTGGGTGTTGTCTTTTTGTTGCTCGTTGTTGGTTGTTGGTATGTTAGTGTTTGTTGTTTGTTGTTTGGTGTTTGTTGTTGTTTGTTTGTAGGTTGTTGTTTGTTGTTTGTTGTTTGTTGTTTTGTGTTTGCTGTTTGTTGTTTGTTTGTGTTTGTGTTTGTTTGTTTGTTTGTTTGTTTGTTTGTTTGTTTGTTTGTTTGCTTGTATGTTTGTTTCTCTGTTTGTTTGTTTGTTTGTTTGTTTGTTTGTTTGTTGTGTGTGTTTGTTTGTTTGTTTGTTTGCTTGTTTGTTTGTTTGTTTGTTTGTTTGTTTTGTTGTGTTTTTGTTTGTTTGTTTGTTTGTTTGTTGGTTGGTTGGTTGTTTGTTTGTTTGTTTGTTTGCTTTGTTGTTGTTTGTGGCGGTGGTGTAGTTGTAGCTTCAGTTGCAGTTGTAGTTGTAGTTGTAGTGATGCTTGTAGTTGTAGTTGCGGTCGTAGTTGGATTTCCACTTGCAGTTGTAGTTGTAGTTGCAGTTGTAGTTGTAGTTATTGTTGTAGTTGCAGTTGCAGTTGTAGTTAGTTGTCGTTTCTTGTAGTTGCATTTGTAACTGTAGTTGTAGTTGCAGTTGTAGTTGTTGTTGCACTTGTTGTAGTAGTTGCAGTTGTTGTTGTAGTGGTAGTAGTTGTTGTTTTTGTGTCTTGTTAGTTGTTTGCTGGGTGTTGTTTGTTGTTTGTTGTTTGTTGTTTGTTGTTGTTGTTGCTGTTGCTGTCTGCTGCTGCTGCTGCTGTTGTTGTTGTTGGCAGTGGTGGTGGTGGTGATGTTGTTGTTGTTGTTGTTGCTGTTGTTTCGTTTGTTGTGTACGCTGTGTTTGTTGCGTGTGTTGTGTTTGTTGTGTTAGTCGTGCGCGTGTGTGTGTTGTGTTTGTTGTTTACGCTTGTGCGTTCGCATTAGCAACAGTTAGACCCAATTGTTCCGCTTGCGCCGCCTTAAGTTGTTGATTTTCCAGAAGATGAACGGGCCCGATCATGGCTTGCAGTGATACCCTTTGTCAATATCAATCATTGACGAACAGGCTCCGAAATTGCCCTCCCCATTCCCTCAAAATTCCTTCACAATTCCCTCACAATTCCCTCAGAACTCCCTCAACAATTCCCTCAACAATTCCCTCGGAATTCCATCAAAAATCACCGCGAGGCCTTTTTCGAAATCCCATCAAAATTCACTCCACGTTCACCTCAATCACATTTCCTTCAAAATCCCAGCGCGTTCCCCTCAAAAATCCAGTACACTTCCCTCACAATCCCAACAACTTTCCATCAAAATTCCATCAAAACCCCATCAACATCCCATCAACATACAAACAAACACCTCAGCATTCCTGCAAATGTCCTTCATAATTGCCGCGCAATTCCCACACAAGTCCTTCAACATCCTCTCAAAATCACCTCAATTTTCCTTTGAACTTCCGGCAAGATCCCTGAAATCCCTAAACATTCCATCAAAATTCCCTCAACATTAAAAACTGTTTGGCGAGTTTATCTCAAAGTGCCTCAACGTGCTGAGCTTGTTGACTGTGTGGGCCCAAAGCTGCTTAACAAAGTTATATCCGAGTGTCCAAAAAGTCTCAACTCATTCTTGGTATGCCCCCGCCACTTTTTAACAAATTTACCTCAAAGAGTCTCACAACTTTCAGCTTGTTCACAGTCTATGCCCGCCACTTTTCGGGAAAGCCATCTCAAAATATCTCAACTCACTTCATGTCACATGCATATTTTAAAGTAATTTGAGATAATTTGAGATAATTTGAGATAATTTGAGACTTTAATTTGAGATACTTTGAGATAATTTGAGATAATTTGAGATAATTTGAGATAATTTGAGATAATTTGAGATATGAGTTTGAGATAGAGTCTGGGGTGAGTGTTTTGAGATAATTTGAGATAATTTGAGATAATTTGAGATAATTTGAGATAATTTGAGATAATTTGAGATAGAGTCTGGGGTGAGTGTGTTGAGATAATTTGAGATAATTTGAGATAATTTGAGATAATTTGAGATAATTTGAGATAATTTGAGATAGAGTCTGGGTGAGTGTGTTGAGATAATTTGAGATAATTTGAGAAAATTTGAGATAATTTGAGATAGAGTCTGGGTGGGTGTTTTCAAATAGTTTGAGCTGTTTTCAAATAATTTGAGATAGAGTCTGGGTGAGTGTTTTGAGATAATTTGACATAATTTGAGATAATTTGAGATAGAGTCTGGGTGATGTTTTGAGATAATTTGCGAGGATTTGCGTTAATTTGAGAGAATTTGAGATAATTTGGGATACTTTGATACACTTTGTGACGTGGAACAACTGGGCGGGCTCGTTTAAAATTTCTTGGGGCCTCGGAAACCTCGAACGAGCCCACCCTTCAAACCTCGTCGGCAAGGGTTCAATGGCTTGTTGGGTTTGGGAGAGATGCTTTGAGGTAGAGTTTAGGGTGAACGTTTGAGATAACCTGTATTGAGATGAAACGAGATAACTTGAGATAGGGTTTGACTAAAATCGATTGAGATAAACACATGTGCCTAGCGCATACGCGTGAGGCTCGAAAGCGATCGCCCAAAAATGGCCGGCCCCCCCCCCCCCAAGCCGCGCGTGTGCCCATGCACTACTGTTGTTGGTTGTTGGTATTTCAGTGTTTGTTGTTTGTTTTTGTTTTGTTGTTCGTTGTTGGTTGTTGGTATGTTTGTGTTTGTTGTTTGTTGTTTGGTGCTTGCTGTTGTTTGTTGTGTGCTGTTTGGAGGTTGTTGTTTGTTGTTTGGTGTTTGTTGTTTGTTTATTTGTTCGTTTGTGCTGTTGTTGTTTGTGGTGGTGGTGTAGTTGTAGTTGCAGTTGTAGTTGTAGTTGTACTTGTAGTTGTCGTTGTAATTGTCGTTGTAGTTGCAGTTGTAGTTGTAGTTGCAGTTGTAGTTGTAGTTGTAGCTGCGGTTGTAGTTGTAGTTGCAGTTGTAGTTGTTGTTGCAGCAGCAGCAGCAGCAAAAGCAACAGCAACAAACAACATCAAACAACTAACAACAAACGACAAACAACAGACAACAATCAGCACCCAGCAAACAACTAACAACACGCAAAAACAACAACTATTACCACTACAACAACAACTGCATCTACAACAGCGACCGCCGCTACAACTACAACTGCGACTACAACTACAGTTGCAAGTGCAACTACAAGAAACGACGACTACAACTACGATTGCGACTACAACTATAACTACAACTACAACTACAACTGCTGCTGTTGTTGTTGTTGGTGGTGGTGGTGGTGGTGGTGGTGATGTTGTTGTTGTTGCTGTTGCTGTTGTTGCGTTTGTTGTGTGTGTTGTGTTTGTTGTGTTTGTTGCGTTTGTTGTGGTAGTCGTGTGTGTGTGTTGCGTTTGTTGTTTGTTGTTTGCTGTTTGCTGTTTGTTGTTTGCTGTCTGTTGTTTGTTGTTTGTTGTTTGTTGTTTGTTGTTTGTTTTGCGTTGTTTGTTGTTAGTTGCTCGTTGTTTGTGTTGTTTGCGTTGTTTGTCAAAACATAATGCACGGCACTCCTGAACACACACACATGTGAAAACAACAACTAATGCAAAACCAAATGCCCAAAAAAGCAAGTTGCCTTCAACCTCGCCAACATCCTCGAGATAATCGAGAACGGCATTCCTGAACACACACATGTCAAAAAACAACAAAAATGCAAAACTAAAGTTCAACAATGCAAGTTGCCTTCAACCTGACCTACCTCTTCGAGATAATTCGAGATAATTCGAGATAATTCGAGATAGCCAAAAACCCCCCAAATCTAGACCCCATGGATCTAGTACTCATAAATTGGTTAGGGATCATTGCCAACGCGGACTGCGGGTCCTGCTGCAGCGACTCTTCGTCGGGCAACTGGACGTCGTTGAACACGATCAGAGCCCGCGCAGACGAAGC